TAATATATATATATATATATATATATATGTACATGTATGTGTATATATATACATATATGTGTGTGTATATATATGTATGTTATTACACATGAAGTGCAAATAGCATAAAGGCAAGAAGTGCAGTTAGGGGCTTATTCTTGTGCACTGTCATACTTTGTAAAGTTTCTATTTCTAGATGAATTTGTAACAATTAAATTATTTATTTATTAGATAAATTTGAAATAATTAATGAATTCTTTTAATAAATAAATTTGTTTAACTCCATATTTGGGCCTGTGGCTATTTTGCTGCTAAGAATTCCCTTTGCCTTCCAGTTGGCTTTTTCCGGGCTTTGAGGTGTACGTACACCTCGCAAACCAGTACGTACACCTCACGCAGTCTCATTGCGATAAAGCGCCTTTTAAATTATATTTATTCTGCTTTTATTTTGAATACAAGCAGAATAAATATAATTTGTATTTAAAGAAAGAATTAATCGAAGAAATTTGCATTTTGGAGAATAAACTTGAGGCAATGGAGCCTGAGAAAGCTCCTCCGCGGGGCTTTGGGGCTGCATGCATGCGAGGCTTCTCTTTCTGTTTTTGAGTTTATAAATGAAATAATTTGAAATTAATAAAAATAAATAACTGGAAATTGAAGTTTCAATTTGTGTAGTGAGTTGCGAGCTGAGGTGTACGTACACCTGGCTGCCGCGGGCTGCCGGCGGAGCGCAGGCCGGCGGACTTGGGAGATTTTGCGCCGTTTTTGGATTTAAAATGGAAATATAATAATTTAAATTGCAAAAATAAATAAAAAGAACAAATTAAATAGTTATTTCCCGCGGATTTACCGGAAAACCGCCGCAGCCTCCCGGCAATGTGGCCAGCTGGCGCTGCGTCCACGCCCCTGTGTGCACTGCGCATGCAATCTGCACTTTTTTGCTTCTTTTCTTCTCCTCTTTTTGCCATTTTTAAAAACAAAAAGCCCCATTTTTTGCATGCAGAGGCCTCCAGAAGTGCCATATTCGAAACCCCCGCCATTTTGTTCCTCAGGCCAAAAAAAAAGGCCCTCAGAGAAGACAGAGCCAAGTAAACCCTAAACCCTAAACCCTAAACCCTAAACCCTAAACCCTAGGTTTGCTTTCGCTTCCAAAGCGGACGTTCCTTTTCCTGTCTACTGCCTAGCCCTTTGTCTATTTATTTATTTATTTATTATTTATTTTTATTTATTTATTTATTTATTTATTTATTTATTTATTTATTTATTTGTTTGTTTGTTTGTTTGTTTGTTTGTTTTGTTCAGATGGAAAAGACACTTGAAAAACAAAAGACATATAGGCGGCTGGTTTTACAGATGGACCGGCTCTTGACTTTTACCCAAAAGACTTTTTATTTATTTTATTTTTATTTTAATTTATTTTAATTTATTTTAATTTATTTTAATTTATTTTACTTTATTTAATTTGAATCATTTAGTTTACTTTTAGTCTTTTTCTTTTTTAGTCACAAGTCCCCTAAACTTTCCTCAATTTGCTTTTCTAGGTTTTACCCAGTCAATTTACCATTAAATAAAAGCGCAGTTTATTATTTACTTATTTATTTATTATTTATTTCATTTATTTCTTTATTTATCTTATTTATTATTTTTTTATTCATTAGTTATTATTTATTTAATTGTTTATCATTTACTTATTTGCTATTATTTTTATTAATTTATTTCATTTACTTATTTGCTATTATTTTTATTATAAATTTATCAGTTATTAATTATTTATTCGCTTTTTACTTATTTAGTTATTTAGTTACTTAATTGCTGCATTTGAAAAGAACCATTTTGCGTTTTTTTTTATATTATTTTTAAAATTTTAATTTCATTTATTTGAACTTTTATTTTTGCAATTCGTTTGTCATTTATTCTTTTTAAAGTTAAATTTAATTATTTCTTTTTTTCGTTTTTAATTATTCCAAATTTTCTTTTTTACGGACTGCAGCAGCAGAAGGCGAGCCAGCGCTAGAGCTGTTGTCATTTATTTGACTAATAAAAATTATTAATTTAATTAAATTAATTATTTAATTAAATTAATTAACCAATTAATTAAACTAATTTATTTAATTAATTTATTACCCCTCTTGCTCGCGTTGCCAAACCCTAAACCCTAAACCCTAAACCCTGCACACACGCTGCTTAAGAAAGATTTTGCACTTCAGTTAAATAACTTCAAACTTCAATAAGTCGATTTAATTCAATTATTTTGATCCTTTTCTAAACCCTTTTTAAACCCCCCAAAGGGGCCCCACATCCCCCCGGGGGCCCCCTAGGGGCCCCCGGGGGCCCCCTAGGGGGCCCCAGGGGGTACAGTTGGGGCCCCCAAGGGGGCCCCTGAGGGGCCCCCTGGGGGCCCCCCTTGGATTTAAATAGTTTTCTTTTGGGTATTTTTCTTGATAAGCCACCCGACCTGCAAAGCGCGGAAAGAAGTTTTAAAAGAAATAAATTCAATTTAATTTGTTTTGGCATTTGTTTTATTTTTAAACAAAAATAAAAATACAAATTTATGTTTTTGTTGGTTTTCTGCATTTAAAATTTGTTTTTTCATTTTTGTTTGAGCTTTAATTTGTGCAAATGCGGTGCTCATTTATTTTTCTAAAAGTACATTTATATTTATATTTCTTATTATATCGTTTATAAAAGTATATTTTATATATTTATATTTATTTATGTAAATATAGCTATTGATATTTATTTAAATAAGTTATTTATTTTTTGAATAAAAATAAATACCCCAAATCAGGTGAATGTGGAGTTATACAAATATGCAAAAGAGGAAATCTTTTTGATGAAAAGCAAATAAATAATCACAAATGGAAATAAGTGAAGAAATAAAAACAAAAAGGAAATTAAAAAACATAAAAAGATGAACTTAATCCAAAAGAGCAATAATAAAGCCTGGGAAAAAGAAGAAACGCCCCTTTTGAATTTGTTTTTTTGGATCTTTTTGGAGTTTCTTTGGAGTTTCTTTTTAATTAAATGATTTAAATGAATTAAATACCTCTTGAGAACTTGTTAAAGGATACTTTAATTCTTCTGTGCTGCAACTTAAAGCCTTTTCTGCTTTTTTCATAAATGCCTTCGTTTCCTCATTCGCTGCGGTGTACGTACACCTCGCGGGGTCGTGCTGCGTCACCTTTTCTGCATGCAAAGCGGCAAGACTTTTAATCTTTTATTTCTTTTATTTCTTTTATTTCTTTATTTCTTTTATTTCTTTTGATTTATTTTCATTTCTTGTTTATTTATTTAATTCTTTTTGTTCATCTTTTGCCGTTTGTTCAAAGAGAAAAGAAAGAACTGCTTCTGCTGCCTCCAGCTTCTCTGAGTGAAAAATAATATTTTTAATTTGATTTTGTTTTAAATAAACAACTTATAATAAATAGCAAATAAAACAATAAAAGAAATAAAAAGAATAATTAATGAAACATATAAAACAAATAAATCTGTAAAGTGGAGGTCTTTGAGTATAATGACCAACATAACAATTAATTAATTAACTTATTAATTGAACATTTTTCAATTAATTACGATTTATTATTTATTATTTACCATTTATTATTATTTGTTATTTACTATTTACTATTTACTATTTATTACTATTATTATTATTATTATTTTTATTTTTATTTTAAAATGCTTCGAGCTGCGGCGCGCTACGCTGCGGTGTACAGACACCTCAGCGTGCCGGGCTGCACCAGAAGCTTTTTGCAAAACGGAGAAAATTAAAAACTTCCGAAAAGAAAACTAAGAACAGTCAAAACCACTAAACCACGATTTAGGGTTTCGCTCTCCCCCCAGTTCCGCAGCAGCAAAGAAGAACAACCAGCAGCAGCAGCAGCAGCAGCAGCAGCAGCAGCAGCAGCAGCAGGAATTTGTTTTTTGCGTTTTTGGGGCTTGAGGGGTTTGTTTGAAAGGGCTTTTCGGGTTTTGGAAAGTTCGGCTTTGCAGCAAAAGGGCTTTGGGGTTTTTTGGAGAAGTTTTGGATTTGGAAAAGTTGAAAAAGAAAGAAGTTTGCATGCGCTGACCAGGGAGTATTTGGCAGTTTTCGGGTTTTCTTTGGAAGTGGTGAACCACTTGGAGGCATTTTAACTCCTTTTGGACGCTTTCTTCGAATATTCTGTACTCCCTGGCAGTGGAAAAGCCCCTGGGCTGCTGCTTTGCGTTCTGGGAGTTCATTTTCGCGAAAAAAAAAGAAAAAGAAACAAAAATGCGGAAAAGGGGGGCGCGGCGGCGGGCGGCGGCAGGGGGAGGCAGAGCCGGGGTGTACGTACACCCCGAGCGCCGCTGCGGAAAGCGGCGGAACCGCCGCTGAAACTCGCGGGAAAGCTGCGGAATAAACGCGCAGTTGTTTTTATTTGCAAAATTTGATGCAATTTAATCCAAGTTTCCCTTTTTTTCATTGAAATTTGGCGGCAAACGCAGCGGCTTCCGCGGTGGCATCTCGCGGGGGCTCGGGTGTCTAGGCAGCTCCGCCGCGCGTTTCCGCGCGCGCTTTGGACTTTCCGGACACTTTAAATAATCTGCAATTCTCTTTTGAAAGCAAATTAACTCATTTTGGAGGCGAAGTTGGGTTTGCTGCAGCAGCAGCAGCGCCGACTGAGCAGCAGCCAGCGATGCTGCAGCCTACGTGGTGACTGCTGCTGCACTGCGGCTGCTGCTGCTGCTGCAGACCCTTTCCCCGGAATGGAGTTGTTTTCGGAGAAATAAATAAATTCAAAACTCTTTTATTTCCCGAATTAAAGAAAAGACAAGGAGAAGACCGCCCGCGAGCCGCGGGGGAAGCGCGTTCAGCTTGTGTCTGCTGCTGCTCTCCCTGTCCGGGCTTGCTGCAGCAGCAGCAGCAGCAGCAGCAGCAGCAGCAGCAGCAGCTGCGTAACTCGGGTTCTTGGGGCGCTGCTGCTTCGCGTCGCTTTCTCTTTGCTGTTCGGGAGGCAGAGAACACCGCCCCGGCGGCCGCGACCCGCTGCAGCTGCAGCAGTGTCTGCTGCTGCTGCTGCTGCTGCTGCTGCAGCCGCTGCAGCAGCAGAACTGCTGCCGCTGCTGCTGCTGCGGCGCTGGCCTTTGTTGCTGCAGCGTGTGCAGCGCTGTGTGTGCGGCTGTTCTCGCGGCCCCGCCGTAGCCTTCCCCAACCCCCCAAACCCCAAACCCTAAACCCTAAACCCTAAACCCTAAACCCTAAACCCTAAACCCTCGTTTTTCAGATGGGCCCGCGCCGCAGCAGCGGCTCTTCCCCCGATGACTGGCCGCTCTAAGACGCTCCCTGAAGAGGAGGTGGCGCTCACCGCGCCTCCGCAGCAGCAGCAGCAGCAGCAGCAGCAGCAGCAGCAGCAGCAGCAGCAGGAGGAGCGTCTGGAGCTGGGGGAGGGTTCGGGGGCCCCGCTGAACCTGAACGCGACCTTCTCCGTGCGGACTGTGGGGCCCCCCGGGGGCCCCCCCGGGAGTTGGGGCCCCCGGGGGCCCCCGGGGGCCCCCGGGGGCCCCCGGGGCCCCTCCTGGGGGCCCCCCGGGGGCAGCGCGTCGGGGGCCCCCCAGAGCCTGTCGGGGGCCCCCGCGAGCCTCTCGGGGGCCCCCCGGGGCCCCTGGGGGGCCCCCAGCGCGGGGGGCACGGGCTCTTGCGGGGGGCCCCCCGGGGGGCCCCCCAAGTGCCCTTTTTGGACCCGTTTTCGGGAGAAGTTTGGGTCTTTTATTTCGGAAATGTTGCGAAGTGAATTTGACTTCGGCGCGGCCTACCGCAGGGCCCAGGGCCTGCAGGGGGCCCCCCCGGGCCGCCCGCGGGGCCCCCCGGGGGCCCCCCGAGGCCCCCCGGGGGCCCCCGGGGGCCCCCGGGGGCCCCCCGAAGAGGCCCTGACATCAGCTTTAACTGCGAAATCCGATCTAGATGATGGAGGGGAAGTCAGGAAACAATTAAGGCTTTTTCCTCTAAGTTTTAGAGACCCTGAGTTTGAAAAGGAGTACTCTTTGATATGCAGCGAGCTGTTTGTGGGGCGGCTGTTCGCAGTGCTGGGGGCCCTCATCGCCGCAGTTATACCCTCTTTGTGGGCCCTGGGGGCCCTTTGCTTCCTCGACATTAATTTGCATGCAGAGAGTTTTGGGGCTTGGATTGCTTTTCATTTTTCTTTTGCTTTTAATTTGCTGCTCGCGCTGCTCTCTTTGCTGCTGATAGTTTGCCCCAAACTCGTGCCCCAGCTCCGCAGCCACTTCGAGATCTACGCCTACGCCAACGTCTTCATCGTAAACCCTAAACCCTAAACCCTAAACCCTAAACCCTAAACCCTAAACCCTAAACCCTAAACCCTCGACACCCTCCCAAACCCTAAACCCTGGACCCTCCTAGGCCTGCTATAAGCCCTCCTGCCTCTTAGCCCCCCCGAGCCAAGCCGGCGCAGAGCCGCTTGCTGGCGCTGCGCGCGCCCCAACCGCAAACCCTAAACCCTAAACCCTAATTTGTGGTTTCAGTGGCTGAGCGTGCTGATGGTGGTGTTGGCGACTTTTCCGAAACTGGTCACAGTGCCAGTCCAAATGGAACTTCTCTGGGTGGCCAGCAAAGCAGAAATCGAAAAAGTCGTGGCTGGGGGGCCCCCCCTCTGCAGCAGCTTAGCAGCAGCAGCAGCAGCGCAGCAGCTGCTGCTGCAGTGTCTGCAGCAGGGAAACCCTTTTGCTGCATGCAAGGCCCTTTGTCTGCAGCAAGACAGCTGCGTGGTGGACGCCTTTGGCCTCGTGGCCGCAGGCGCTGCTTACTGCCAACAAATGGCCCAAACCGTCTGTAAAACGCCCCAAACCCTAAACCCTAAACCCTAAACCCTAAACCCTAAACCCTAAACCCTAAGCCCTTTGTCTGCAGCAAGACAGCTGCGTGGTGGACGCCTTTGGCCTCGTGGC